CTTTTGCAATAGGAAGAATAACAAACATATTCCAAAGGCTAACTCACAAGTTATCAGCCTTAGAATTTTTCTGTTGAAAGTTTTAAAATCTTTTCTCTGTTCTTACTATGTTTTACTGTAGATGTACTTTGACCTATAAATAAATTTATAACTTAATTTAAATCCTGAGAAGTTATTTCAGGTTTTTTTATGACCATTTTGATGCTGATGATATTCTATGAATATGCTGTTTATTAACTGCTGCTTTTGATTAAACCCTTTTTTCAGAAAAGCAATTATTCTGCATCCCACTATAGGGAAAACTGAACAAATATTGAAGTTATTCTTCCTTAACTGTAGAAACTATGAAACGGAGTAGATTTTTTTTAATATTTTAGTCAAAATCATGCAACAGATGAATACTGAGACAGAACAAAATGCAACGACTCTATCGGCTATTATTAAACTCAAAAAGAAAATTAATATCATAAACACAGCTCAGTCTAGCACAAAGTAATTCTGTGGATTCAATAAAAAATTCTTATTTACTGACAGATTCACTGTCTGTTTTTTAATAAACAAGAGAGCAAATAAAGGGCCTTAGGCACATCCTGTAGTAAATGATTAATTTACAAAGACTGTTTTGCCTTGCCTATCCTATAGCCTGATAAAGTCAAGAATGTTTTTTAACTGGTGGAATCTGCATTCTGTCAATGGTCTTGAAGAGATAATGTAGCCCATATAAGTCCAATTACAATTAAAATTGCTTGGAAGAGGTTCTTTCTACTAGGAAACAACAATTTCTAGTGTAGGAAATCAAGCTTTGTCATAACAATATTATCCATGGAAAGAGTGTTTTTCTCTCAATATTTTATATCATAGATCATAGAATGGCTTGGGTTCAAAGGACCTCAAAGATCATTTAGTTTCAACTGCCCTGCCATGGGCAGAGATACCAGCTGCTAGATCGGGTTGCACAGGACCCCCATCCAACATGTCTCTAGTTAATTTTATTGCACTTATTTTATTCCTTTTTTTTTTTTTGGTCCAACTCTATATATTTTTACTTCACTACTGCATTACAAGTACATGAAATGCCCTTCCAAATTTACACACTAAAATAAGACTTCATTAACACTTTTCATTCAGAAAATTATTGTACTTTCAACTTTTGCAAATGAACTACATTGTCTTAACCAAAGCAACATGGATAGATACCTTTTCTCTCCTACAGTCTGATTCCTAGGTCAGGTATGGACTGATTCAGCAATACAGTAGTCCAGCATTTATGAAAAATATTACTGTACCCTCACTTCTACAAGCGGATATCTTTTATGGCACAGTAATTCTCTGCTGCTCTTTCAGAGACACTGAAAGGCCAGAAAAGGGTACAAAAGGGCCTAAGCAAAAGACTGGATAGGGTCTTTGGTATCCACAGTGAAAGAATTTTGAAAAGCAAAACCTCATTAAGAAATGTAGCAAGCGCACGATTCAACTGTTTTCACAAGCCATACCACCTCACATCAAAGGCAGTCTGGTCTTTTGAGGTTGGCTTGTCAAACTGAATTTAAAATTGGATCTTCTGAGTAGTTATCAAAGGTTTGTAATGGCTGAACTGAGATAAATGCTTTTGATCCAGCTGTTGTGATTTCTCCTAGTTTCCTACTTTGAAACCTCTACTGCATTTTGCTAGCCAATTATAGATATAGTTATATATACACAAATGTTCATGAATCTCTTTCCATCTTAGTACAAGTGACAAAATCCTGAAAAGACAAATTTCCAGCTCAGAGGAGGCTGAGCTTGGTCCAATTTTATATCTACGCACAGTGCCGAATCAGCTGAAATGTAGGACACTTGGGAATAGAAATCCATGACATCTTCACAGGCAGAACTTTTACTATGGAAATAAAATTGCTCAGTACTGAATGCTTTCTTTTCTATGTTCATCTTCCTCTCTAAACAGTGATATATTATTATTATTATTATTATTATTTTAATAATTTCAACAGTTTTGATGGGATACACAATGAAAAGCAATTCAGCTAATTCAGAGAATTACATTATACTTTCCTCTATAGAAATTTTACCATAAACTGTTGGCAAGTAAGACAAAGCTGAAAAAAATTGGTTAATTTGAAGTCATCTAACAAAATAGGACCCTGAAGACCATGAATGGAAGTAAGACTACTAAATATCTTTGGTTATAAGTATTTCAAAAGTTTCAGTTAGCTGTACAGTATCCTGAATATTCAGCACTTGTTTCAGAGCTACTCTGCATCGTTTTAGGCCTTTGTGAATATGGACTTGGAAATTTGGCGGAAGAATGGAGGGGATTCCTGACTGAAGTGTTCTGGCTGAGCCACAACCAGAGCTTTAAATCAATTTCTTGATTTTCAGCTTTTTTGTCTGAACTAGACTCCTTTGTGACATAAAAAATTATTTTTATTTTATGAACTATTCCTTGCTGAGATAGAAACACAGTCAAACTCTAAAATGACAATTCTAAAACCTGGTTTGGAAATTACTTTTGTTCTGAATAGCATCGAGCATTTTAAGAAAAGCTAGGTGGTCCCAGTCACTGACTGAAACTTTTATCAGCTACTTAAGAACAGCATTTGCTATCTTTTTACCAGCAACTCTGGAATGCTTTCAGCCATATTTTATTAGCAATAGAGGAATGAGAAAGTGTACTTCACAACCAGCATGGAAATATCAGCTTATAGATTTATTTCAATTGAAAGACAATGGAATAAATGAGAACTTTTCTTGCCAGAAGAAATAAGTAAAGTAGTGGGTATTTAGACTAGGGAAACACAAGATTATTTGCACTGAAACCTGCAGAAGTGTTGCTGCTTTACATTTTTGAAAATTATGTGCAGTTGTTTAGGTGTCCAAATATTTGCTTAGAAATCTATTTGAAAATCTGGAGTTTGTTAACCATGGTTTCTATTTTTAGGTATCAATTCACCTACCTACATGTAATTGTCTACTGCCATTTAAATTGCTTCAGGGTAGCCTACTTGATCTCCAGCAGTCATGCAGGTTTCTCCTGTGTACTATTTGCCACATCTCTCAGCTCACAGGGAATGTCACCATACCTTATATGTCACAAATAAAGTTTTATTGCTGTGGGTAGCTGAACCAAGTCAGATCTTTGAAGATAAAGATAACATCCTTGCAGACACATACACGTAAATGCTTATGTTTACATTTATATGAAGGTAAATGTTTTTGATCACATATTTAAAATTATTATAATGCTGTTCTGCATTTCTTATTCTCAGTTGAAAGACAAAAATATGGTTGTGATTGGTGAACAAAATTGTTCTTTAGGCTCAGCTGCTCTGAGCACAACAGCAGTTTAGACACTGTAGACACCCACAAGTTAACACCTACATATGGGTTTCTTAATATTGATTTCATCTGTAGATATCTGATAATCGTAAGGAAAGTATTAGGACTAGATCCAAAGAAATAGTTGCAAAAAAACTGTACTAAAAAAAATGTACTTGCTTTAGTATCTCTCATAGAGGAGTATGGATTCTCCTGCGTACTTCAGCCAGAGCACAAGTATGTCTATCAGAAAGAACTGACATGTTCTCATGCTTCAGTGACATATTTGTAATAGTATGGTACTTATTTATCAGCATCCATACCAATGAAATGTAATGGTAAATGCACATTTAAATAGTTCTGAATTCATGGAGTGCTTAGGACAGTAAAAGCTTCCAAATGAGTAATTGCTTCACACAGACAGCTTTCACAACCTAAATTGCTTAGTGGCTGGACTTTAAAATAGTGTGTATTTTTATTAGTTAATCTCCAGGCACTGTAGGAAAGACAACAACCTACAACAGGATTCATATAAGAAATGAATGCAACACAGTATTAGTGGGAAAGAACAATCAGAACTGTTTCCTCCCGGGAACCGTTATAAAAAGTAGAATGTAACAAGTTTTTTGCCTGAAGATAGTTACAAACACAGCATATTTTTTGTTAAACCACATTTTTGTAATTTCAAGTTTAAAATACTTTTCAGAAGTTTCCATAACTTTCCAACATACCCTCACAATATATTCTGATGAAGAAATATACAGTGCCTGGGTGTTATAATTTTCTTACTTGCAGGTAGATATGTTACTATTAGTGTGGGCAAGACTTTTCTTCAATATAAGCAAGATTCTTGAAACTGAGCTAGTTCTCTTTTAAAAATCCGTATCTAAAACAAAATGTCATACTCCTATCTGCAACACATTTCATATTTGATATCTACTATATTGTATGTGTAAATTCATTCTGAACATGAGCTTGATAGATTCTTTTGTGGAATTTGTCAAATATCAGTTTAAAGACTGACTACAATTTTCCATATCATTTGTACTTTAGCATACCGAATACCTCTTTTTTTTTCTATTGTCAAAAAAGGCAGAGTAGAAGCTTGTTCTTCTAATCATTCTGCTTCTATTCTAACATTGAATGTATTCAGTATTGCTTTACTATATAAGATAAATTTTAAAATACAGGACAGCAGTTGATAGGGTGTTTCCTACTAGTTTGATGCACAATAAAAACAGAGAAACTATAATAAATGGATTGCATATTTTTTACGTTGTCTGGATTACCAATTGTAAATTAGCACTTCCACTTTCATCTCACAGATGATAAGCTTAGGCAGCAACCCTGCTTACGTGATTTATAAATCTATAAAGACATATCTGCACCTCATTGTGGCACCCTTGACTGTATATGCAGTAATGGAAGAATGAAAATATCCATTACAGAAAGAAATATCTTCCTTTCTATTCAGGTGAGCAAAGAACTAAGTAGCATGTGAGTTTTTAATAACATCAAAAACATCTGTTTGCTCACTATATAAAAATCAAATTATTTAAAAATGTTGTATTTTTTCTTTTTTCTGTTGGCTGATGTCAGATAAAAAAACACATACTCCTTGTTTTTATTTCTGCAGTTCTGAGCACTTGTTTTATTCACATTTTTATTTGTGTGGACTTTCTTAGGTTATATTCAGTTGGAGGCCGGGATGGAAGCTCGTGTTTGAGTTCAATGGAATATTATGATCCTCACACAAATAAATGGAATATGTGTGCTCCTATGTGTAAGAGAAGAGGAGGTGTAGGAGTGGCTACATGTGATGGGTTTCTTTATGCTGTGGGAGGCCATGATGCTCCTGCTTCTAACCATTGTTCTCGACTGCTTGACTATGTAGAAAGGTATCCAATTATACATGCATTTTTTTTAATAGAAAATAACGTCTGGTGGCATAATTTTCTTAGGTTTGTGATGGTAAAGTTAAGTAGACTTGCTTGAAAAATTCTGTAAGGGTCTGTAAAAGATAATTTCTTTGAAATTTATTGTCTTTCCATTTTATTCACAGTACTATTATATATTATCATGAAGACAAAAGTCCACTCTTTTCACATAGCATTTAAGTAATATTTTTTAAAGCACTATATTACACATTGCAGAGTTATAAACTGAATTTTGTAGAGATCAAATTTTTTCCTTGAAATAATTTTGTTTAGAATTTTTGTTTAGATTGTGTTTAGAAATATTTTGCTAAGCAAAGAAGAAATAAACAACTGCTTAAGTGATGGATATTCATAGTACAATATATTGTTTCCTTTAGCAACATTGCCACTTTCTAATGTGTTGATATAAGCCTTATACACTGTATTTACAGTACCCTGAGTTTTGCAAGTAGATATTCTACAAAGTCAAGAATATTAAGTAGGGCAGTATTGCACAGTTGAAGTGATTATAACATTCCATTTAAAGGTATTCTTCAAATGTTTCATGAAGGTTTGACTTTTTTCTGTTTCTGTATGCTATAAAATAGAATAAGGAAAACACACTCTCCAAATATGTACAGGTTGCAAAAGTTAAAGTAGATATGTTTGAGTAGTTGGTTTATCTTAATGCACAAGTAAGACTGGTGTTGGGAGAGATTTATCTATTTATTTATTTTCTGAAGGGGTTAAACTTTAGTTAAATGTCAGTTATTGCTTCTGCTGAATCTGAATTGACATTCAATATTTAATCAAAAAATTATAAGTTAAAACGTACTCCTTATGTTATCCATATGATTTTGATAAATCTTAGACACATTGCCATCTCTACTGTATATGTAAGAAAATATCATAGGTTGCCAAGTACTTTACTTTCCATCTCCAGCAGATGGACAGTTAATAAGAGAAATCCCATGATGCCTGTACTCTACGGACTATCTCTGTGGACTTTCATTTATAAGGAACAATAATGAGCATTTTCAGTGAAATAAATTTATATTAAGACTACTAGTGACAGTAGTAGGAGATCTTTTCAACTACTTCTGCTTATTGGTACTCATAAGGGAGCTCTTCTTTCATTTTTCTTTCTCTGAGAATAATACCCTTTTGGTATTGAAGATGAACCATCCCATCACATTTGTCTTTCTCAGGGGAGACTGTAACAATGAGCTAAACCACATATCCTTATGCTGTGTTATGTAGTGGTATTGGAATGACATTATACTGTGTTCCTCATCTAGGTATTTTTTCCACTGATAGGAAAAAATGTAGATAATGTACTTCATGAATAGTAAGCTTCGAGACTAAAAGTTGGGACCAACAACTCATAAGACTATTAGCTTATGTAGAGTGGATGTGAATTAACTGGTGGACTCCACTAAAATGGGAAAAAACTCTCCTGGCCCTTCCAGTGCTTGATTAGTTTATTAAGATGGCTGGGATGTTATTTTGTATGTCTGGTTTTTTATTCAAAAATTATACATCATTTTCAAAAAATAAAAACATCTCAATAACTTAGGAAAACAAAGATTAGTGATTACAGTAAGTTTTTTTATATCTCTCTGAAAGTTTTACTTTCTGTAAATATCTTTTTTAACTGAGTCTCTTCTTCAGGAATGAGTCTCTGCTTCAGTCATTTTGTCATTCTGATACAGCCCGATAGGATATGCATTATTCAAATCCAATTTGCTCCTGGAAGACTGTCAAACCAGACATAATAGTTTAAAATTTATCTTTGAGATTATACAAATATAGTGACAACAGATATATGATTTTTAAATGCTATTATTTTAGCTATTGCTAAAATTCTGCTCACTAGTAATTAGGACTTCCAGAATAATCTCTTCTATGGATGACACAATTTTAAAGGATTTCCTATGGATTCAAGCATTCTGATATAAAATAAGAGTTATGTTTTTCTCCTCTTCACAAGCTGGCAAAGTGCAATGTTCTATTCCCTTTTTAAAGGTAAAACAACTAATTCCTTTTTAAGAATTATACAATTTTTGAGATATTTTGGCATATTTCATAAAGTAGTTTTCTTTTTCAAATGTTACTCAAAACTTGATGGATGCTAAAAACATAAACATTTAATCTATAGTTTTTCCCCTTCATCTCACCTTGATTTCAAAATTGATTTCTTTCCACATTTCCACTGGTGAATTTCACTGGATGGGAAATAGTTTCAGCTAGAGGCGTAGGATGCTGTTATTAAAAAGCTCAGAGTCTTTGAAAAAAATCCATTCAAATTTTCTTTTCCTTTTGCTTGTTACATATTCAATCAATGTTTGAAAGTATTTTCCTCTGAAGTTATGAAAGACATTTATAATATATCTAGATATTTAACTTCAAACTTCTTAAATAAGGCTAGAAAAATGAAAAATTGGGAATAATAAAATTAATAAAAGTAAGAAAATTAGAAGAAATGAAAATAAAAACATACAATATGATCAAGGTTGCAGACAATTCTTTTATTGTCCAATTTAAATGTCGTATTTATGAACCAAAAGGCTGTTACAAGCAAAGCACATTGCAGTACTTATATTAAAAAAAAAAAACCATAAAATTTTTCATTGTTCAAGTATGTGGGACTTCAAATAGTATCCCTACTAGTTGCTTAATGAAAATATCACAGACCGAAATAGTAACAGGTGCTAGAATTTTCCTTTTTTTTCTAAAACTTATGTATTTACAGCTTTCTTTGAGATTATTAACTCCTAGTTAATAAAGTTTAGACTATAAGAAAATATATGGAAAGAACTTGCCTCTCCCCCCAAAAAGCTAACTTACAGCTAATATTGTCTCATAGATCTGAAGGAGAAAGTGGCTTGATAACTAATTTTGTGTAACAATATAGTAGTTAGAGGGCCTGTAAATAAAGAAAATGTTAGGCATTATAGAGGAGTTACTTTATTATTATTTTAGAGAAATCAACATGCTCAAAGTGTGACCTACCTTGTACTTTTAAGCAAGTTAATAAAGTCAGGAAAAGGATTTGTATTTTCTCCACTGATAATCAAGTGATTCTACTACGTAGTAGAGACGGTTAATGACAGATTAAATTAATTCTATCATACTGTGATATGGTATTCAATTTTAGTAATATTTGACATTTAAAAATGGCATATCTAGTTTAACCTAATACTCCAGATATCCATAGTAACAAACTCTCAAAAGATATTTTATTTCTGCTTTATTGATGTCTAAAAGAGATACAATGGAATTACTTCTGAAATTAAATAATTTTACATTGTTAATGAGTATCTAAATTAATAGCTAGGTTAAATGTTTAATTTTTAAATTACTGTCATTATACAAAAGGAATTTTGCCCTCAGTTTTAAAAATTCAGTGGTGATTATACCTTAAAAACAGTATTACTTTCCTTGCTTGAGCAAACAGCAGGAGGAAAATGCAAGTCCTATGCAGTTAAGCATATTCCCTGAATACCTGGGAAGGTTTTCTGGCTGTGAACATTGTATAGTATAATTTCAGAAATTAAAATATAGTGAAATTTAATTTCAGAAATAATGCTTTTAATATGGTACAAGACATATCCTACTTAAAATGTATACATAAATATATACATATTGATTATATATCTTTCTCAAATCTTTTTATAACACATTATCCTACAAATACCTTAGTTTATTCTAGAAGATTAGCTGAGCAAAAGTTTCTAATCAACATTTGGGAACACAATAAATCTGTATCTTTTCTTTTTGCTGTTAGGAAGAGTATTTTTGAATAGGATGCTAAAGGATGGTTTTTTCCTCAGGCAAGAAAGGACTATATTCAAGTAAAAATCACCATAAATTGACACTTATCTTCTCCCTGCACATCCAGTTTCCTTTCTCTTTTCTCAGGTATGATCCAAAAACTGATACGTGGACAATGGTGGCTCCACTAAGTATGCCTCGAGATGCTGTTGGTGTCTGCCTCCTTGGTGACAAATTATATGCAGTAGGTGGCTATGATGGTCAAACATACCTGAACACTATGGAAGCATATGACCCTCAAACTAATGAGTGGACACAGGTAATCATAAAGTCTATTTTTTATATTATGTTATATAAATATTATATATTATATACTATTATGTTGCTACCTTTCAGACAAAATTCTTGTTCTGATCAATTTTCATATTAAATTAATTTTTTCATCTTTCTTCATGCAGAAGTAATATCATAAAGAATATCAAAATGGTTCTAGAATTTTAATTGGTAACCAGCATGTCATGAAGATCCTTCATATGAAAATATGTTTACTTTATGGAGAGAGCCAAGTTCTCATTTCATTCTTCTATTCCATTTTCTTCTGTTTGACAGATATTTTGAAATGTTGAACTGTATGTATGTCTTTAATTTTGAACCATAAAAGAATTAATAGGTATAATAGAAATAGTAGTATATGCAAGAAGCTGGGGACAAGTGATTTGGTTGTAGAAGGAATATACTTTATGTCACACTATTGCTTGGAAAGATTTTAATTCATTGCATAGACTTAAAAAGAAACAAAAAATTATTTCAACACTTTTTGTTATTAATCCTATTGCAGACTTGCTGAAAAAGTAATTTTTTCCACCATTGTAGATGTTTACATCTGAATTAGTCATCCTAAGTTCTCTTTAAAGTTAGTGAAGAAAAGCACATACTTTGAAAGCTTGATCTTATCCTAAAATAAGCATTTAAAATAGGTGTGATATATTATACTCAAGAATACTTATTTCTTTTTGAAGTTGTAAAGGGAAGCTTCTGTTGAGAAGCTTAAATGTAGACATACACATAGAAATCCCTTGCATATCAACAGTTCACAAAATTAATGACAGCTCTAAAATTAATTCCTCTTTCTTCTGTTCTCACACTTGTCAAATGAAAGGTATCAGGTAGAAGTAAGTAATTTTTAAAACTACAATACTAGGGTAGTGTGGTTTGTATTTATTTTTAGTGGTTTTGAGCATTTTAGAATAATGTTGACATGGCGCTTTGGCAATTTTTGCATGGCTTGTTCCTGTTCAGTTAATTTCTATCTGTTTTTCTGCAGATGGCATCCTTAAATATTGGAAGAGCTGGCGCCTGTGTTGTAGTCATCAAACAACCATGACTTTGTCAGCACTGCTTAGGATTTTACTGACTGTGAAATGATTATTTTTCTATGAGACAAAGAGAATGATAATTTCACAAGAACAAGGATTTACACAGTGAATACTCTGTTGATCACAAACTTGAAGTTTGAAAGTGAGAAAGATTAAGTATTTATGTCCTATAAAATCGTAAAAACTGTTCACAGTCAGTGAACAAGAAAAAAAAACGGTGCGTAGGCGTAAATATGTGAATGTGGAGTAGTAAGCTCAGGTTCTCATGAATGTGTCCTGGAGAACTGGATTACCAAGCTAAAGCTCTATACAAGGAGCAGAAAGGAACATGAAAACAGTTTTTGTGGCTGCAAGAGAACTGCAGAAACATTAAAGTACGTTTAATAAATTTGAAACTGTGGTTTTTGAAAAAGAAAAGTTGATAGTAATATAATTTTTTTCTGTCCACAACCCTCAAATGGGTTGTGGCCTTCTCCTTTAAATGGACAGTTTGATTCTTACGGAAGGGAAGAGGTCAAATGGCCTGGATATTCATAATGGCTGAGCTGTCACTCTATAGCAGGAATAAAAACAATACTAAAAGTAAACTTGTTTTGTATCTTCAGATTGTACCTCCTTTCCAGTTTTAACACATCTTATAAATGAATCTATTGAATGGGAAGACTGTGTGTTTAATCAAGTAATACATAAAGCAATCCTGTGGCTGCACTGGGCTTTGTTGCAAATATTGGAGTCAAAAGAACAGTTTCCTAATTCTTTCTTAGTCTTATATTCAGTTTAAGCATGTGGGCTCTAATCTCTTTGTTTAATGCCTTCTACTGCATGTTGGAAGCTCATGACAAGCTGGAAAATTGATATTGTTCTTTCACTGCATCATGTATCAGATGAACCCTGACCAGAACAGTCTATAGAATCTCCTCTAACATTTCAAGAGGGAGAGAAGTCCTACATTTTATTTCTTTCTAATGCTCGTAAATACACGATTTTGCCTAATTAGAGCTGGCAATTTATGACTTTCCACTTATGACTGAGAATAAATTACTGAGAATAACTCCAAGTAGGCAATTCAGAATAAATGCAAGTGAAATAAGGAAAAATATACCATTTGATCTAATAAAGTTCATATGGTAAATATACTAGTGTCATCTGTGCTTCCCTTTAGGGTTGATAATTTTTGCCAGTAATGATACTTTGAGCTTTTGCTTCAGAAGTAGATTTAACGCTGATGCTTTCTGTCTGCTCAGCTGAATCAGTGAGAACCTAAGGCCACTATTGGAATATGAAATTCTGCTATTCAGGGAGGCACAGTTTCTGGGAACAATTCTACCAAGTATACTTCTTTAAAGCCCTGCTGATCCTTTAGGAAACATTTCATGGTCCAAAAGCAGAAACCTCACAATCCTCTGTCACTAGCAATTTTGAGAAGTAATTCTGGTTGTACTAAAACCAGTTTTCCAATGGAAACCTTTGAAGCCATTTGAGATGAAAAATTACATACAGATTCCAGCTTGGGACATTTTATTTGAAGACATGTCTTTCTGTTTAGCAGCATCAGCATGCATGGAGATTGTTGTTTACTGATGCAAACTGAACTTCAGTTCTGAAGCCTAAGTATATTGTATTAAATCTTTTAAATACCTCTGTACTAATTTGAAATCAACCAAAAAATCTTCATATTAGTTTTCTACAGCCACTTGGCTTTTGAATTGCAATTAGTCTTCCACAGACAAGCATGTCCATTTTTCTCCAACCACAAGAAGCTGTTGAATAAAAGATGTTACCTCTCTAAAGATTTTGCTTCACATAAATGCAAGCTTCTAAGACCAAATGAAGAAGATTCTAGCATTGTAATTGTAATATTAAGTATAGACATTGGCATTTGGTTCTCCTACACAGATACCTAATAAACTTAGAAACTGAATTTTAATTCTATTCCCAGAACTTTCTTTTGATTACATTATATCCATACACAATAGAAATATGATTGTTCTATTTATATATTGATCTTCAAAATTGGATTGTTTCTACTGATTGTATTCTGTGGCAGATTTGTTTTCTGTGCCTTGTTCATTCTTATCCTCAATTTGTCTTCTGTTTTATTTTTGATTCTCAATTTCCTTTTACACTTTTTCCATTTGCCTTTATTTTGCCAAAATGGAATGTGATTCTCATGTGAAATTTTTCAGACTATTCCAATTCTCTAATGCTGAAAGAATAAAATTTTTATTTGTTTTATTTAGGTTATGTAAAATCTAGCCACAATAAGAGCCAAAATTGGCTTTCATATTCTTTTTATGCAGCTACATCAATGTGCTCTGGAGTTTCTTAGAGAGAATTTGTGGATAGTTTTTTATTAATTTTTTTTCTTACCATTATGTTTACTGTTATCGAAAACAATAATAATTTTACCTTTGTTTTCACAGGGAATGCATTTAAATTGAAGTAGTCTATAATTGTAGTCTTGGTTTCTGTGATTCATTAAGACCCATTTTTTTATTTATAAGAGTTAAAATCACTTCTGATACACTGAATTGTGCTAAACAATATTACATTTACAGGAAAAGCTGTTGTCTTTTCAAAAAACAGATAATCTCATTGTTAGTGACCTAGCATGGTTTCTTTTCTCTCACATAATTTTGAAATCATACTTGAAAATTGATTTCAAAGTATGAAAATCAGAGTGCAATCAGAACTGCAACAAATATTAGTTTCAGTGAAATCAATAACTGAATTCCTCAAAATGTTGCTTTTAAATTTTGTAGTTTAATAGTCTAAGTATGGTCTCAAATGTTAGCTTTTTCTCTATCTTTCCCACTTTTTTATTTAAGAGCGTCAACCAGCTTTATTAGAAAGTCCTTCCCCCCAGGTGGGGCTTTTGGTGTACCAGTGGCTAATAGCCATTCTGGGGCTGGACTAGAGGCTTCAGATGGTGGGGTGTGGAGCAGTGCACTGTCCCACCTTGGCCAAACTTGTCCTGCCCCCTTCCCGCCCCCAACTTTAGTCATTTTGAGCCAGTAATCATTTTCTCCGGTCTCTCACAGAAGGGACCTTAAAATCATGTAGTTCCAATCCCTCTGTCATAGGCAGGGACACCTTTTACTAGGACATGTTCCTCAAAGCCCCATCCAGTCCGGCCTTGAACACTTCCAGGTATGGGGCACCCACAACTTCTCTAGGCAACATGTTCCAGCACCTGACCAAGCTCACAGTAAAGAATTTCTTCTAATATTTAATCTAAACCTACTCTCTTTCACTTCAAAGCCATTACATGCCCTTGCAAAACACCCTTTTCCAGTTTTTTTGAGGCACTAGAGGGCTGCTTTAACGTATCTCTGGAGACATCTCCAGGCTGAACAACTCCAACTCTCTAGCCAGTTTTCACAGCAGAGGTGCTCCAGCCCTCTAATTATCTACATGGCCCTCCTCTAGATTTACTTGAATGGATCCAGGTCCTTCTAATGCTGCCAGCCTGAGAGCTGTACACAGTACTCTAGGTGGCATCTCACGAGAGCAGAGGGGAATAATCACCTCCTTAGACGTGCTGGCCCCTCTTCTGATGCAACCCAGGATACAGCTGGCTTTTTGGGCTGCAAGCACCCATTGCCAGCTCATGTTGAGCTTCTCATTAAATAACACAAATTTTTCTCCTCATTGCTGCTCTCAATCCATTCTCTACCCAACCTGTATTTGTGCTTGGGATTGCCCCAGCCCAGCTACAGGACCTTGCACTTGGCCTTGTTGAACTTCATGAGGTTCATATGGACCTACCTCTCAAACCTTACAAGATGCCTCTCTAGGCTCCAAGTCTCTCTTTCTGCCTCTGTCATTGAACTGGTAATAGTGAGATAGATTGAGATTTTGTCCCCTGCCCCCCGGAAACTTTAGTTTAAAGTTCTTTCATCAACTGGGAAGCCTATGTCAAATTTTCTTCTTGGAGTGCTTACAGAAGCAATACCTAAAAGACAAAATAAGTGCCTTCCCCAGGAGAGGAAATTCTTATAGCGGTGGCAGTGCTTTTAATAGTTATTAATAAAATTACTAAAGAAATCACAGAAGAAATTACATTTTTGCAGGGCTTTCATTAGTTATTTAACTAAACAAAATCAAGAAAAATACCATAGCACATTATGCCTCTGTTTTTCAAATTAATTAATATTTCTGATTTGATTCCTTTCAAAATGCTAGATAGTTAAACTTCAAGAATAATTCTCTAAACAATATTTGAGGTTGTATAAATATGTCATATAATTCAAGTTGAAATCAATAGAAAAAATAATCAAGAAAAATAGGTAATTTTTTTCATATGACACTTTTGATCTGTTTCTACAAATATTGTAGTGTTAAAAAATCCATTTTGCAAAATAAATACTAGCCTTGTGATCCCCTGTTCCTTCTGGAACTGTTGGTTACTTTGCAGTTTTGGACCTTTCTTTTTAGTTATTTTTCCGTTTGCTTTTCATTATTGACAATGATGGATGCTAGAAATATAATCCCCATTAGAAAATATCTACATAGAGAAATGTCATTTACTAGCTAGCACTTTATTATTGAAATTATGGGATCTAGTTTTATTGAGAAGTTTTGCATTGAAATCAGTCACAAATAAGACAATAAAAAGATCTGTAGGTAAGAATATTGTTGCTTTAGCTTTAATTACAACTGTTCAATTCATATTCTTATACGTTCTTGCAATCAAAATACAAATATTGTTTATAACCAAAAGTAAATGTTAAAAAATCCTTTTACATATAGAACAGTCTTTTATTCATATGAAACTGGTCAAATTATTACGGCAATTTTAGGATGCTTTCAGGGAGTTGCCTGTCTCATAATTTTACTCCATTAAGCTAACATTCATTGACATAAGGGAATGATTTTGGCATAGACAAAGGATCTTTTCCTTGAGTAACATTCTCTTCTACAGAAAATTGCCATCAATTGACCATTATTTTAAATCTACATATGTTAAAATATATCTAGAAAGCTCTATATATTATTCAGATAATTTTTATATATTTAGAAGGCCCAAATAAATTCCCCTAAATATATTTGTCAATGACTTAAACACTTTTCAATTACTTCAATAAAAATAACTCACAAATTAATTTGAAGTTATGCAAGTTTTAATGGGTCAGACCTTGATGTCCATGAGCAAACACTAGAAATACCATGCATTGTGATTATAAATGTAATACAGTTTTTCCACAACAGAATTCACATCTTGGAAGACTTTCCTTATTACTGTACTCACAGTGAACTGGGCAAAACAAAATGTGACCTGTTATCTATGACTTTGCCCTAGGTATTTCATGAGGAATAAATTGAGAAGGCATTTCTGCAAAGACTTTAAAAAAAGCTTTTGTAACTGTTATCAATAGCAATATTAGATTACATGAGTAATCCTGTAATATTCTTCAGCATTATTCTAAATCCAGTGTAAAGCTGCTCGAGTTGATATAACCTTGCATTTCATTCCAAATTCCCTTAGTTCCCTTATAGTTCTGCTTCATAGTACATTGGGGATGTATGCTTATGGACAGAGAGACTGCTCAAAATCATTAAATCAGCAAAAGTTTGAGTTCCATGTGTAGGACTGCAGCTGTTGAAAATTAAACCATAAGGAAAAATACTAGCACAGGTAAGAAATGTACTGGCAGGGAACAATACAACCTCAAATGACTGGCTATCCACAGCTTCACCTTGGGGAATCTATGAAGCTGCCAAATCCATCACCCTCTAAGGATTGCAAAAGTAGTCAAAGCTGAGGTATGAGCAACTTAAACTTCTGTAATCCCATATTTTCCCAGATTTCCTGTGATCACATGATGGTTAAAAATGCATAAAACATACAATAATAATAATAAATCCTCCCTTGCAGAAGTCTAGTACTCCTCAGAATTAGGTCTAGGATACCTTTGATGGTCTCCAGGAAGAAATACTGTTCCAAAGGTGAGATATTTCAATTAAATGGATGAGCATTCAGTTTAATCGCCTCCACATAAGTATCTAATACCATCTGAGATGCCCAAAATTATCTGAGTCATCCACATTGGGCTGGCAAGTATGGCACAGATGAAGTTATGAGAGGATAACAGAAGTTCAAAGAGGAAGCTGTAAAGTGTCCCAGATGATATTAGATACTTTTTTGTAGGTGAATGATTTTGAGTGCAATTCTGTAAAGATTTGGGTGGCATATTTCAGTCACATAGTGGGAAATCTCAGATGTAGACAGAGTGTAGAAAAAGAGAACCTTTGGGTTGGGGTTCTGGGTTTTTTCTTGTTTCTACATCTGTATATTTTCCAGGACATCAATTAATTTAAAATGGTCATTTATTCCATTTGAAAGGAAAAACAGAAAGAAGACTTGCAATAGCAGTGTGAATGAATAAATATCCATTTCATAATATAGAGTATATAGGTATCTACTATGTAAATGTCCACATTAGAATTATACATCAAAAACTTTTCCTTATCACTAGAGTAGCAAAATCAATATTTCCAGGACATGATTCATCTCATTCTAAAGGTTAAATAAATCACCCTTTAAAAGTGTCTTTCTCTCTATTGACTGCAAAAGTCCCTAAAATTACTAGTTCAGACAGAAATAAGTTGGTTAAGATGAATCTCTAAACTGATGAATGCCTAGAAGGAACTGGTCACACAAACATTTATTTCCAATAACTATAACAGGAATTTAATTTAGAATATAACTGCAAGACTCAACTATGCACTGAACAAAACCAATATCCCTGTTCTGAAATCCCTGTTATAATAATTTCGAGTATCCAGATGACATGCAAAAGAAGTAAATATAGCTCTTTGTTAACACAGAAGGAGAGAAAGTATTCAGAAAATAGTAGCTACAGGTCCTGGTTATCTAAGGTTTAGATATCCTAGATGTCAGGGATAAGGGAGCAATTTAATACAGTAAGCTGCAAAACGTGTCTATATAATTAAAATTTAGAAGCCTTCAGAACATAAAAGAGGATTATTTGAAAGCATAGGATTGCTGTAATCAATGGGCATCAGTTATTCCAGGCCCTTGGGTAGGAAGAGAAAAACTGGAGATGACCTCCCACCAGATGGGTCATCTCATCCAAATACAGGCATACAAATAGATCACCTACCTGAAATGCATGGTTTTCCTCTTTGATTTATAAAGGTGCCTATGAGACTAACCCAGATTTAGGCGCCTAAATTAGTAGAAATTCTAACAATGAATTGTAGAAAAATGTCAATAGTATGATCTGTCCCAAACTGTAAATCTGGTTGACTTTCTTACAGATTTATCACAAATAGTTTACACCATGCTGCATATTCATTGACAGCTCTATAAACAATTAAAGAGATATATTTTTTTTATTAAATGCAATTTTTGAAATAACAGCTATTGTAGGTAAATTTCTTTGGTGGTTTTATGCAACTTCATAATCTTTCTTTGTGCAGTTCTGAACAACCAATGGATTAATTGTTCATTTCATTACAAATTGTGAATGTTTAGCACCTTTTAAAATCACAAACCATTTTCTTTGCTCTTTAAAATCAGATGTTTATTTTTTATTCCATTTCGAAAAATTGTGGCTATATTTTATATAAGACATATTTACGTAACACATGTTTATGTGTCTGGAACCTTGCAGAAAAATACAAGTCAGCATTCTGCTGGAATGAGATTACAGAACACATAGTCTTTTAAAAATGTATTTTCTATGTCAGGAAACTAACATGTCTTTGGTTATATTTAATTGACTTTAGGGAACTGACTCAGTTATTAAAAAATATATAAAGAAAAAGAAACTAAACTTTTCACTGACTTTACTTGCTTGACTGCTGTCTTTCCCTTCTTCCCACAAAAAAAAGCAACCGAATAAATGCACAGATAAGTTCTCTGTCCTTCTAATTTCAGTGTCCATTCATTAATTTATGCTGTCATAAATTCTAATTAATTGTAAAATTAGAATTAGACAGAGGAAAAGCTGCAACCAAAATGGCACAGAAGTAACTGTTACACAGAGTTTCTTAACTGGGGGGGAGTAACAATTTTTTTAGAGTGGTCTAATCAACACATAGTGTCAGTAGATTTATGCTAATGGTGACTCATTCCTTAACTAAAAAGC